GGGGGGGGGGGGGGTACTCATAGGCGTGCATGCCGAAGTCGTTAAACCATTGACCTCGCATCACACAAAGCCCGGGACGAAGCACGCACTCCGGGTTCCCACCGGACCAGGCTCTCACATCACCAAGCGCGACGCGCCGTGATTTATCTAGTGCAGGAGGCGTTTCTTTGTAGTCCGTGCACCCACCCCCTCTCTATCTCTCGCTCTCTTTCTTGCACGCTTGTCACCCATCATACGCCGAACCAACACGCCAATGCGATTTGTTTTTGCTTCAAGGGGCGAACGACGCTTCTTTTGCTGAAGAATGGTGCCAACGCTCACCCCTGGAGTGAACAATTTTGAGTTTTTTCTGGCGGGCCACAGAGCGGCACTGCTGGTAGCAGTGTTCGCCTCGTGTTTTTAATTCTGTCCGGCTGCTTCGCCGCCCATGACCGTCGGTGCAGCGGCAAAGCCCTGGCTATGGTTTGGGTATAGCCTCATGGCCGTGCTGCTGCGTACCCTACGGCTAGAAAGCATCTATTCGTGTCTTGTTTGCCCGCTACGAAACTGGCGATTTCCTCGGGTCTTCGGTTGAGAGCGGGAGTGGCACACACACACACACACACACACACACACGCCNTTTTTTTTTTTTTTTTTGCTTTTTTTGTTGAGCGCCTCAGGGCTATTCGTGGAACAGGGTGGAAGAATCCAATGCACGAGGTGGACAGCCTCTGCCGTAGACTCTTGGCGTTCTTCCACGAAGACAAGCACTTGCAAGGGCAGTAGAGATTACTTGGCGGACAGGTAGTGAGACACATTTTCATGTTTTGATCCTCAGGGAGTGGAAGCCTTGTGGTGGGTGGCCAGGGATCGTAGGAAGCGGCACGAGCGCTGCGAGCGCTGATTTGAAGTAAAGACTACAAAAAAAAAAAAAAGCACTGAGACTGACGTCTTTTCATTGGCCAGCCACGATCGCGGCTGATACGAACAACGGAGACACGCACGCACGACGCCTCCCAGATGATGGTCTTGAGAAATATTTGCTGCTTTTTTGCTGCACTGATACTGACTCTGCGCTCGATCACCGGTTCAGCGCGGTCGATGCTGAGAATGAGAGTAAATCATACACGCCTGTTGTCTTTTTTTGTTGCTACCTTGGCACCACTGGACTGGCGAATCAGATCTTGTACCGCCTTCAACCACACTTAAAAGACTGACGTTTTTCCATTGGTCAGTCAGCCGGTTAACGCGGCCGATGCTAAGAACTATTTTTGACACACGCATCCGTGGTCATTGTTTTTCGTCGTGTTTCGTGCTTTGATTGGCCGATCAAATGGGGTTTCGCAGCGTGCCGACCGGCGAGAAAGGTCGTTTTATTGGTGAGATCTTGAGGCGAATGGAAAAGCACACAGCAGTTGACTTATTTTTGTTTCGCCGTGTTTGTTTACTTGATTGCCAATCAGATCGGGTACCGCAGCGTGGAGGCCAACCAGGAGGACCCCACGGCGAAGCTGGAGCTGAAGCTGAACGCGGACTCTTGGGGGGACATAATGGAGGCTTTCCCCATCTTCTGCCTCTCCTTCCAGTGCC